CCCCCCTCCCTCCCCCCCCCCCCCCCCGGCCATCTTCCCCCCTATTATAATGTTCCCTTCCATGCCCTGACCTCCACCCCCTGGCCAACCTCTCCACCATTATAATGTTCCTCTCCATGCCCTGCTCAGTTTACTGTACTGCGTTATACACAGAGAGTCCATTACATAAGTGCTCTGGGCTGCTCAACACAGGCCCAAAGAAAAAACAAGTTGCAGTCCATTGTGTCCAATACCAATACTGAAACCAGTGCATTTCACTGGTGTGCACTGGGTAAACATGGAACGTGCTCCATTTAAATGTAGTGCAACACTCTGCAACACATTACAACTAGGGATGTAGCTATACCATTTTTTCCAGACCGAGTACTGATACTTTTCCTACAAATGCTGCGATCCTAGTAGTTCAGCCACTGACTCCAAGCTAGGGGGACTACAAATCCCTGCAATACATTATACTGCAATGCAGAATGGCACCAGCTATAGATGACTACAAATCCCAGCAATACATTATATCACAATGCAGAATGGCACCAGCTATAGATGACTACAAATCCCAGCAATACATTATACAACAATGCCAAATGGCAACTGGCTATACAGGACTAAAAATCACAGCAATAAATTATACACCAATGCAGAATAATATGAAGCTACACAATCTGCTGCTCCAGCGTGTCCCTAGCGGAGGATCTCAGGAGGGCTGCGGAGGATCTCAGGAGGGCTGTGTGAGGTGTCAGGAGAGCTGTGCAGGGTCTCAGGGGGCCTGTGTGGAATTTCAGGGTCTCAGGTGGGTTGTGCGGGGTCTCACCAGGGCTGTGTGGGCGGCACAGGAGGAGGAGCTGTGTGGCCGGCACTATAAACAGTCACCAGGTGGTTCACAGGAAGGAATACAGGCAGCCGCTTCAGTTCAAAAATGTTAAGTGCTGTTATCGGCATTTAGTATTGGGGCATTTTCACGTATCGGTCCGTCCCTAGTTACTTGGCATTGCAAACCACTGCAATGCACATTAAGGAAAGAAAAATTATGTATTTTTGATCCTGTTATAAACAACAAAATAATGTAACTTGCACTGCAATGCAATTTAATGCAACACATTAAAAATGCACATCAATGCAACGTGTTAAAAAAAAAGAATGTCAACACATGCTAACTAAAGTGCAACAGAAGTGGCATGCATCTTCAGTGTTTTCTTTTGTTGTATTGAGCTGCTCTATAATAAAATAACATTATCTCCCATTAAAAAATAAAAAACATTTTGGCAAATTAGAGGTCTAGTAGAAAATACTGTGGCTAGTAGAGGCTGTGTCTCTTCTCTCCGCAATTTTCCCCCCCTGTACACTGAGCCATGAATGTGCAGAATGCCAATGCATGCCGTGTGCATGCACAAGAGTAACGTCATCAAGGCTCCGCCAATTAAGTGGCAGAAATTCTGAACTGAGAAGAAGACCGGGACTAACATGGAAATGCCACCAAGGGAGGAGAGTCCGGGGCACTGGAGGGGATCACTGGAGGGGATCACATTGGCAGGTAAGTGCCGAGTGCTGTGCATATGACCACATTATGGCTAAATGCTTCTGGTGCAATTTGTTCTGCTTTACATCCACTTTAAGCTTTAGATGTACTTTACAGAAGTACAAACATACAATTATCTATTAAAAAGGGGTTATTTAGATTATGGGGGAACAATGTCACATTGCCTTTACCTTAACCCCACAGCCTCTTTCAATATGTAGAGCATACACCAGGAAATTTTCTAACAAATTCAACAACTTCCAACCAAGCTAGCAGCTGAAAATATGACTGAATAGATCAAGGCAACATTCCACCAACAGTTAGTTTTATGTATTCATATGCCGGGAATAATGGTAGGTTGCCTTGATCCAGCTGATTGTTTTTATATGAGCTAAACATGAATGAAGGTATTAGAAATTCATTAGTGTTTAGAAATATCATTACATTTGTGGTAGAAACCAATGTACAGAAGAACAATACAAAGAACTTGTACATAGAAACAAAAAAAAACCTTGGCATGCCAAAAAACACATAGCAAACCCCAATTTCTACAACCATGCAGAATTATACCCTTATCACACTGTATGCTTTCCTCTAGTTTCCTGTAGATGGTGCATTTAATGCACTAAGGTAAAGGACACAGGCTTTCTATGGCTTTACACAGGAATGACAACTCTCCCCTAGGTAAACGGATACAGAAGCTGCTATGGAGGAACCAAGTTCTAATAGCAGTCCCCAGAGTTCCTCAATGATTACACAGCAGATTGCTCAATTTAAAAATTAACATTTCTTCTGATGGTGCGTTGTATTTAAAACGTACAGTTCTTACTGAACTATAACAACTATCAAAGGTAAAGACTGGCAGCCACATCCTAAAGCTAACACTATAACTGAGGGCCCAAACAGCTGAAGAGCAAAGTGAAGATAGTTTAAAAACAATCAGAATTAATGGCATCCTATGCTGACCTTCTCTTCTGCTGTCTTTGTTATAAATAAATGAACATGCTTTTAATTGCAATAAGTTTAGTTGCAGCTGATTACATTACTAGCTGGCTCATGTACCCCAGAATTCAAGCCAAGTGTACCCGGATTACTGAAAATGACACTTGATGCCAGAGATACCTAAATGTTCTTTGTATGTGAAGTGGACTACTATCAAACTTTTTATCAGAACCATTATCCTAATATTGATTATTCAAATAGTTGAGCTATTTTCTAATTGTTTGTAATCATGATGATTATTATTATTATAATACAGGATTTATATAGCACTTTCAGTTTGCTCAGCTCTTTACAAAATATTTTTATATTTAGAAATGTATCATTTATATATAAGGCTTTGTTTAATGTATCTTTGTTGAAGTAGCTATCCTGCTTATCCTACATGGAAAAAAAACATGAAATGAAATGTATTATGACCGACTGGTCCAGAAAAGGCCAAGTGAATCATTTACCAAAACTTAAATCCAATTTAATATAATTGATTGTGATATATGTGATTCATTAATATC